TGGCATCTCTGTGTACAGTTCAAAGTCTATGAAAATGTCTCCCGCTGGTCTCATGATGTCACATTGTCTTTTCAGTCTGATGCTTTTCTCCAGTTTCAAAGGCCCAGGCCAAGTCCAGAGAACCCAATTTCAAAGTCAGGTCATTCAAGAATGTCACACAGTCCAGCATGTCTTCCAGATGTTAACATCTGTCTGAAGTCTATGTTGGATACACAGATGGCTGTTGTATAATTTTTTATACTTCTTTATATGATGCTTTGCATAATGGCTCATATTTATAAAGTGCAAATAAAAAGAAAATTAAAGCAAAGCTCGATTTCTGAATCTAAACTTATCCTCTTTCTCTCTTCCTCTTGCTTCTCCTCTTTTTGTTCTTTGGCAAATTAAAACACAGAGTACTTTATATTTGGTCTTCTAAAATTTGAAAACAAGAAATCCTAGGTTAAAAATTTAGAATCCAGCTTTTCTATTTAAAATAAGGAGGGTAGGGGAACAGGGGAGGGGGAATTATATCGTGTACAGGTACAAATTCTCTATGATGAATGTGATCATTTTGCATATACAAAATGTACCAATAAAATCTGATTAAAAAAATAAGTAAAATATAAAAATAACTTCCTACAACTCCTGCTGGAAACTTTACAGTTTTGATGTAGATCTGTGGCTGGAATAACTGATCAGTCTCAGTTGGTAACATCTTTTTTAACCTTTAATAAGGGTTTGAAAAATTTTAGCATAGATGTATGGTCTTCTGGTCTTTCAAATGTCTTCTGAGAGACATATACCACATCACATACAAGAAGCTATCTTAATCATTCTTGCCCTCATACATTTCAGAGGTTGGCCTAGAAATGTTCACTGCTGTGCTTGTGCACCTACATGAGGAAAGCTCTGTTCCCCTGAGAAGTAACTGCCTTCTAATTTCTTGATGAGTTTCAGTAGAGACAAGTTATTTAATGGACTGCTTAAGGTATGGAGGACCGAGGTGTAAGGTCTACTATGTATAAGGTCTACTGTAACCTAGGTGTACAGTAGACCTAGGTATAAGGTCTACTGTAAAAGGACCTAGCACGAAGGGAGAGACACTGGGCTGAGCTTTGAATACAGCATTGGCAGTAGGAATTTATGCCATGGAACCAGGCAGGGGTCAGTAGATAGTAAAGTACTGAAAGGAAGCATCCATAAAGGGAAAGAAGATTCTGGTTTAAATGACATAAGATGGTTCATGCTGGAGTGAGAGGACATGGTGACCACACCTCACTTGGGAGATTATGGAGGAACAGGAGCTTGATCATACACAGAAGCTGTTGCATATCAAGGGCTTATGTAAACTGACTTGGCAAGGTTCTTTGCTAAAACTGTATTTTATAAGGAAGTATATGGATGGACCTGCAAGAGGGTTCAAAAGCCTGGCTAAAGTTTCGCTAACCAAAGAATCTTTGGTGGTTCACTCACATTGATGTGATCAGGTTCAAAGAATTTGAAACTGTTTCTCACTGGATGTTGGTAGAATGCTCCTCTGCGATAAGTCAGACATCCACTCTGTGTTCCACGGAGCTGCTTGAAGCTCTTTTCTGCTGGCATGGCCTGGTGGCTCGGGTGAGATATGGGGTGGGAATTAAAGGTCCCAGCTTCTCCACAGGGTGAAGACATTGGGTCCAATTGGAGCAATCCCTTCCTCTTCTGCAGAGCTGAACATCTACCCCCTGGACTACTCTCAAGGACTCACTTGCCTACTGGGTTTATCTTTTTCCTGATGTCCTTTTCTTTTCCCAGCTAGCTGGTGAGTACCAAATTAGGCATACAAAAAAAGTCTTTCAAAAAAAATGAACAAAGGATTTAGAAAGGTAGTTCTTTAAGCTTATACATTTTTTTCATGAAAATGGCTGGGCGGTAATTCATAGTAATGGATTTGATTTTCCAAATGAGTAATTGCATGAAATCATGAAAACAAACTTTGTAAAGAGAAGCTATGTTTCTATTTTCAGTGTCAAATGCTCATGTACTTCATTTGCTTATTCATTAAACAAATATTTTAAGTGTCCATTATGGCCAGTTACTTTTTTGGTACTTGAAATGTAGAATTGTGCAAAACAGAAGAAGATGATGATGATAAAGACAAGAAACTTGTCTATCTCTTGTCTGCATAGGCATGATAAGCATTTCCCACCACCTCTTCCTAACCTGGGGCACTCACTGTGAATCTGGACATTTTGATGGGTTTTTAATGATAGAACTGCATGCAATTAGCTCCTTGGGTACACCAAGATTAGCTATAAGAAAGGTTGATGATTAAGTGTCAGGAGCAAGAGCTGTCATTTAACCGTCCTGACAAATGGTGAGTTAGAGACTCAGACTCTTAGGAGATGGTCTTAGGTTAATGAGTACAGACAGAATTGAATGCGTGATACAGATTTGCATTCTGGAGTAGACCTCAACAAAACTGTGCCAACATCCTAAGGAGAAGTCCATTGGAGTGAAAAAGAAAAATTTAAGAACTAGGCTGTATTAGTGACTCTATCATCACTGCACTAACTACCTGACAGCTGTCACTTAAAAGAGGAGTGGTTTATTTGGCTCCCAGTTTGCAGGAAGTTTGGTCCAAAACTGGCTGGCTCCAAGGCAGAAACATATGGTAGAAGGGCCTGGTGGATGAAAGCTTCTCATCCCGTGGCAGACAGGAAACAGAGAGAGAAGGGAAACATAAGGAATAAGAGTACGCGTCCTTGGCCTCCTTCTCATTCCACCTACCACCTCTTCCTGCTCCTCCTTAACCTCTTCCTCCTCCTCCTCTTTTTTTGCTTCCTTCCAACTCCTTTTGTGCTGGGAATTGGACACAGGGCTTTTGCACTGTGCTATATCCCCAGATAGCATCCGGGGATTTTGAGACAGGGTCTCGCTAAGTCTACAGATTGCTCAGACTGGGATTACAGGTGTATACCACCAATCCTAGCTGAAACAGTTCTTCTAATGAAGAGGTTGGACTTTCAAGTTTTTTAAAGTCACGTTTTTCTTGTTCATAAGAGTAATGCATTCTTTTAGAAATATTAGAAAATTACTAAGAGATAGTTAATGAGAAGGCTGATTCAAGATAAATAAATTATGGTTGCAAATAAATAAAATTACTGTTGCAAATAAATAAATGAATGATTCATCCTAATTTCTCTTGGAAACTTTTCCTATTAGGTGAAGGCTCATATTTTATTTTTCTGTGTATAAGGTACTTAATACTTTCTTTGGTTCACTAGCCTTAAGAAAAAAAATAACATCCATTCTTTCTAAGATGTGTTAAATGGGTGATGTAAAGGGTATATTTTTCTATTTTTAAAATGTACACATATTTTTATATAAAAGATAAAAGACACAAAATGAATGAAAGTAAAAATTACTTGCAATCCCACTATTGTTAATATGATAGTAATTTGATGCATTCATTTACAGATTATGTATGTGCATGTGCTTACACACAGTGTACATGCCAACACATATATGATGGAAGATGTCTATAATATGAAACAAACAGAGAAGAGGAGACTCAAAAGCCTTTTACACAGCCTGATCTTTTAAAGTTTTTTTTCATCATTATGTTTTCAATGGGAATTTATAATCTTTTCAGAAAAACATGGAACTGCTTTAATAAATTCAGAAAATTCTCTACTCTGATATGAAGCTAGGTTCTTGATTTATTCTTTCTCCTCTCACCATCTTATTTCTTTTTTTACTACCTAATGCTTGGAGAGGTTTTAGAACTGGGTACTGATTGATATTTTTACAGACAATATTCAGAATATTAATATCACTAATCTGAAAATAAAATTTAAAAATTTCCTGCACCAGTGATATAGCTCAGGGGCACTAGAACCTGCCTGGCAAGCACAAGGTCCTGAGTTCAATTCCTGGTACCACACACAAAAAAATTTCCTATGTACATTTCAAGCTTCAAAGTAAAAGTACTCACTCCAGTGTTTCTCCTCCAGTGCCTGATCCAATGGTAGGCACATTCTGCTTGGCAGTGACAGCTTACAGTCATGATTAGATATTTCCATAGCCTGGAGCTTTGTGACTCCCCAAAGCCACTGAATGGATCAAAGTAGCTAAAGAAAGATACCTGGAGAAGCTTTTAAAAGTATTGATTGGGTCCTGGTTCAGTATGTTTAGAAGGAGACTGGAAATCTGTATTTTACAAACTTTTCCACACGGTTCCAATGAATAACCAGGTTTGAGAACCATTGCCTTGAGAGATGTAGTATAATCCAATTATTTTCTGGCAGTCTGAAGGAAAGAGGTTAAGGTGGATTTGACTTATTGTGCAAAACCCAGATTCCCCAGAGAGTGTCTCCCTGGAAGACATTTAAAAAAATCTATTCCAATATAGTTATTTCCCTGGGGTGTTTTGGTTGTCATTTTAAAGCCATGGAAAAGATTTGATGAACTTTGCAGGTCACTTCCAACCATTTAATTGTATAAAAATATGCCTAGCTCTGTAAATGTTGCAACGATCCATAGAAAAAAACCTTCCCTCCAGAAACAAGTGTGTTTACTTCACACACATTAAGCTAAGCAATCATGACACATTCACACCCCTGTGCACATTTTGTTCTTGATAGAAAATGAGACATTTAGCTCATTGAGTGCACATAAAAATATTGGAGATTTTATTATGGCTTTCATGCCTCAAAAAAATATGTATTAAGCATACAACTAATATTTATTTTCTTCATTTTGTAGATAATGTGCTTTGTAAAGAATGCATAAGCCTTTTGCTAATTTTACACAAGAAATAACTTTGAGAAGATGCTTCACTCTAATATGATCTCATGTGCCACTATTTCAATCTAATCATATTAAATTTTTACAAAAAATAACTTTAAGCAAGGATTTAATGTATTTTATAGTATACTAAGCACACTCTGAAACATTCAGCCTTCAAAATCCCATAGCTAGAGGAATTACTATTTGAACATCATTTGATCCCTTTATCTGTGTAACAGCACTCTTACCTGCTGTGGTGATCTGCACGTTTCCAAAACAAGTGATCCTGGAGAGTCTGTCAGTCACTATGTCTGCTCCTTTGTTCTCAGAGAATGAGCATGTGATTCCGTGGACCAATCCAAAAAGCCCATCTTTTCTGGAGCAGTGATTGGCATGGGAGTGAACACATGCTCCCCAAGAGACCAATCAGATGCAGGGAGAAAAAATTAGCCTCCTCCTCAACTCTCTTGCATTTGGCGAACTGGAAGAATAGGACTCTGAATTAGTTGGAAGTAGTTTAATTCCCCATGAAATGATAAGGTTTTTTTTGGTATGAGAATGTAAATATTTGAGGAGAGGTAGAAAAGATGGAGTGGAAGAGGTACTGTGACATTCTGACTTTCATTTTCCAGATAAGTACATTGAAGCCCAGAAAGCTTCAGCAGTTTGGCTTAGTTAGTAATCCAGATTTGAACTGCTGTTTAACACAAAATCGTGTTTAACTCATGCATCTATTGGTACTCAGGAAAAAACATGATACTAGATGTAGATCAGGTGTGACTGTCCGAGAATGATGTCCCAGGGCCTTGGAAAATTACAAGGGTCTAGTGTTCAGCATGAAAAAAAAATGAATCTATTCGTTATATAACATAAAGTTTGATTGTAAATGTTATAAATCCAAAGAGAAGTACATTTTGATCAATAGTCTTTCATCAGTTGAAGTGAATTGGGTGAAATTATGGGCAACAATCAGTCATAGACAAGACCTCTACCATATCTCCCATGCATGTTCTACTTTGCAAGCCGGCACAGGTATCTTGCTGCAAGTTAACACGTGTGAGTGGCCGGACCTTATACCTTGCAGTAAAAATGGTGGATAGTTTAAAGACTGAAACCTACATTCACAGTATTTTTGAAACAAAGAGAATAAATTTCCTTTTACTATCTGGCAGAACAAAGTGTGTCTCTTCAGAACCTCATTGTAGCTAGACATGTTCTTTACTTTTCCCTTCTATTCCTAATCTATTTCTCTTTTTCGTTGGCAGAATGCTTTCTCCTAAGAGAAGGAATATCAAGTACATTGTGCTGAAAATTTGTGTATTTAAGGAAGTACTAAAGGAAATAAAGTGGAATACAGGAGAAAAGCAAACGGCTTAATATACCTGAGTGCAGGTGTAGTAATTAATTTTTTGATTTTTATTCAGTAAATGTTTTTGAGTTTTTTAAAAGATGTAATAATTGGTGTGTAGAAATCAAAGTAGCATTTATATAAGGCATATCCATAGTAAGAAAAATCAGTATCTATGAACACACTACTGTGTTCAGTGGTGGAATTAAGGGCTAGAACTTGATGAATTCTTCTAGTACGATTCTTCCCAAACCTGTATAACCCTCCCTCCTCTGAGGTGACTCTCCTGAATTGTATGTGTATCCTTTTCTTACATTTATGCAAGTAGTTTAGTTTTTGTATGCATTTTCCTAATAATATATTGTAATGTTTTGCACATTACAGTATTTGTATCACTTTATATGTACTTTTCTTTGACTTGCTTATTTCATTCTAAATTGTTTCTAAAATGTGTCCGTATGCTTTCTGGGAGCTATGATTCATTCGTTTTTAGGTTGTATGATAATATTCCATTCTGTGACTATTCTACAATTTATTTAACTCACTCTCCTATCGCCGGAAATTTGAAGGGTTTTACTCAAATTTTTGCTGACATGTATAATAGTTTTGTAAATGTCCTTATTCATTTCTGCTGGTATACATGTCCAAGATTTTTTTCATGGGTGCTATGGCTTCACTTGGGGGGTATAGAATATTTAAATTGATATGAAGATGTCAAAATATTTTTGAAGTAATTAGAGCAGTTTACATTCTTAACAATAGTATAGACATATTCACTGATTGAAATCTTTACCAGTATTTGAAATGTTAGACTATTTTTGTACATGTAGTGGTGGTAAACTTATATCTCATTGTGGCTTTAGTTTTAGTTCCAAGATTAATAATGAAATTGAACATCTTTTCTTGTATTAATCAGTATTTGTGATTTCTGTTTTATGAAACATGCTATGACTTTTGCCCATTTTTCTTCTTTTTTTAAAGACTCGTAGACTGTTTTAAAATATATTTAGACTCTATTACCTTATTGATTCTATGCGTTGCAAATATCTTCTTCAAGTTTATGATGTTTCCTTTTTACTTTCTTCCTGGTGCTTTTAAGAATCAATACTTTGGATTTTAATTTAGTCAATATATTAATCTTTTCCTTTAATGATTCATGTAGTGTTGGGTCTTTTTAAAGAAAGCCTCACGGAATATAATCTTTACTGTTTTATTCTAAAGATTTCAAATTTTTATTTCTGGTATTTCAATCTTTAATTCATCTGAGATTTGCTTTTATACATATTGTGTAAGGAGACCCAACAAATTTTTGCAATTAAATTACCAATTGCCCTGCATCATTTATGCATTAGCATTCTGTTCTTCAGCCATCTGCATTTCACTTTTCTCTATGTGTGCTCTCTTTGCGATCTGTATTCTGTTCTGTTGGTCAATAAATTAACTCTTTGTCTATACTACCTAGTATTATTTGTTTTGCTTTTTTAAGAGGCCTAGATAACTGGCTAGCCAAATACTTTTTCAAATTTAGGGACAGTTTGGCTATTGGGCTTTTGACTTTCCATGTGAGTTATTTCAGCAACAAGTTTTTAATTCCCTGCAAAACATACTCTTAGTATTTTGAAAGGGGCTAATGCTGCTTCAGTCATGTAGCTTTCAAAACCCATAGCCCAAACTCAAATTCTTTCTCCCAGAGTGAGACAGAGACACATGGCCTTGTGAGAGTGCTGTGAGTCACAGAGTGTGATATGGCACAACTGGAGGTCCTATGTGCCTCAACTGCCTGTCTCCATGTAGTACCTCCAGTCAGCACTGCTGTAGCAGTTCAATTGGATGTGCTGCTTGGTCATTGGTCCTTATGTACATGACCTTGTAAACAGGCCGTAATTTACTTATTTACTTTCACAGTGAAGGACAGCCAGGTTGCCTTGTTTCTGTATACTACAAACCATACTGCCATCTCTCTCTCTCTCTCTCTCTCTCTCTCTATATATATATATATATATATGCTTGTCAACCTTTGTGAAGACTTATTTTAGCAAGAGGGCGGAGTCATAGGTTATGTATTTTATCTGCTTGAATACTATCAGAATTGGCTCTCAAACAGCTACACCAATTTAGCTTTCCACATGTTGTTCAATACATTTATCTATATTTCTCTAGCTATCTATCAAAATATATAGATATAACATCTGAGAAAGTACAGTTTTAGTTTACAGGTAGCTATTTTTTCACACAATTTCTAGATGTTTTCCATGAGCATGACTTTCATTTTTAAAAATCATAACCATAAAAGTAGTTATTTGAAACCAATCTCCCCCAACACAAGCCCAAGACTTGCACCCTCCCCCCACAACTTTACTGGAAATAATTTGCTAAGCCTGGTCCTTTTCCACCACAAAAGAGCTTCATCTCAGTGTTAATGTGCACAGTGCTTCTTTGTTCCATCCGGCCTCTATTCACTTGCTTTCTGTTTTCTTCCTATGAACAAAGGGCCTATCAAGTCCAGTGAGATCATGTCCAATTTATGAAATCCTGCCTCTTAAAAATAATGGCTAACATTGATTGAACAGTTACTCTTTGCCAAGCACTTTGCTCCCCCATATCATATGCATTATTTCAAATCTCGAGAACTAGCGATGCAGGTGCTGTTTATGTACTCTTTTTACATATGATAAATCTAAGCAGCGTAGATACTGAGCAATTCCCCCAAAGTCACTTGGTGATATAGCAAGATTGACTACAGAGCCTGTCTACATTTTCTCTTTCAAAGAAAAAAATAAGTGAAAATCAATTCTGGAAATAGCACATTAGAGAGCAACTTATGATATTGCAGATCGTTTCCTTCTTTCAATTAGAGATACTTTGAGACTTCTCTTTGAAGGGTCTGGTGGTTGTTTAGAGCTGAACTTCTTAAACTTTAACACACATGAGGGTCACTGGGTATCTGGTTAAAGTGCAGGTTCTGATGTTGAAGATTTTTCTGGGATTCTGCATCCCTGCATCTCTATGATTCTATCAGGTGATACCTTGGATGGTTGTCGCTGGGCACATCCTTATACCACACACACACACACACACACACACACACACACACACACACACACACACACAATTTCCATGGCATGAGTATTGGGAAACTGTACTTTAATATACAAATATAAATTTCTTCAAAAAAGAGGACAAAACACAAATATTTCATCCTTCAGAAAATATTTTTTCCTGTTGGAAAGCTATCCATTTATTTTTCTGGTAATGAACTATTACTTTTTTAAAAAAGATATATATGTGAACAGAAATATATAGAACATCTGCATGCACTCAAACACACATATAATCTTTTTTACACAAATAATGGAATGCTGTACACATTTTTCTTTTTTGTTTTACTAGTGTATGTTTGCAACACATTATAATTACACTCATTTGTGATACTCCTTATGTGATACTGCAATGTATAACAGAATATAAAACTACAGTAATGTACTGTGCAATACAATTAGCAAAATTTACAGTACTGTATAAATAAGGTGTACTTTACAAAAAAAGACATTGAGACTCTATAAACAAGATGTACAGCCGTATTGTCTCACCAGTGTAAGAACCTGAAAGCATGAATAAAAAGTAGGAGGTATGATAAATATTGTGAAATGAAAGGAAACTGCTCAAAAGTAAAGAACAACTGGAATGAAGGAAAAGAACAAAGAAAGAAGAGGAAAATTCTGTATAAATGTATATACAGGATAGCTAACATAGTTGTACTATTAATTTCTATTGCTTTATTGAAAGGAACAGTTAATGTTTAATTGTTTGATCAATCTTACGTGTCTATATTTGTTTACCTGAGCAACCGATTTGAAGATATGAATATTTAATACAACAACCATTGTTAATTTCCAATAACCTTGTCTGAAATTCAATATTGTTTATATTGCTTTTGTGTTATTTTGTAAATGTATGTGTGTTTGTTAA